TGTCTTGACCGCTCCAATTCGCAGATGCTGGACCAATGTTCTCACAATGTATCGGGACTCTTCTGGTCCGCGTGCATCTTGGAGGAGGCGTTCCACTAGTCGCTGCTTCTGTTCGACGCTGCCGTGGCCCTTACTGCTGGCAATCTTGACTAGTGTTTGGTAGACGCTTTTGATAGTGAGCGGCTTTGGCTTTCTCAATGTGAAGCTCTGTCGCTTCTTTGCTTCAAATGCGACATCCCCTGCATCTCCATGTTTGTCATAGAGTGTTTTCAGACCAGCTCCATCGAGACCGCATACCTTTTTTAAAGCCTTGGATATCGCAGAGCCACCCAGACCTAGTTCCAGAGAGATATAAGGTGGCGAGATGGAGTTTGTAGCTAGCCAGACTGCAGGCAAAAGACTCTCTGGGTCGGCCTCGATGATGACCCTCAGGCAATTGACCAGCGTGTCAACAATTTTGATTCGACTTTGGGTTGAATTGACCAGCACGAAGCATCGGGTTAGAAGCGCGTATGATGCGTTGCCTCCGTCTGCTGCCCAGTGTCTCTTCAATTCCGGGACATAGTGTGAAGGATCGAATACCAAAGGACTTTGATCAAAGGGGATCGTCAATGTGATGGTGTCTTCTTCTGAGGCCGTAGACTGCAATCCAAGAACTCCCTTTTTGCTAGTGTTTGACGGGGACTGAGGCTCAGGTGGAGGGGTCTTATCAATAGTAGCGTTGACAGAGTCCTTGACATCTTCCTCAACCTTGTGCTCTTGTGCTTCTGCATCCTTTGGCAATTTGTGGCCATTGGCATCATTGAGAGTGCTTTCTTGCGGTCCGTCTTCTCTTGCCCATTCCTCTTGGAGCTTTCTGGCCAGTTCTTCGTCAGTCAGCTCCTTCTCCGAGACCGACAAATCCGGGTTCGCCATATCATCACTCCGCACTGTTCCATTTCTCGCTTCCTTCTGTTGTTCATTTTGCTTGCGGAAAAAGAAATCGAGACTGCGGTGCGGTACTGCGGCGGGTTTGGAGTCGTTCTTCTTCCTTCTCTTAGCCGGGCTCTCCATGATTGTTGAGTACAGTTGGCACTGGCAGCAGTGCCAGTGCCATTTAATTGATTATTTGGTAACCATTCTGCATGCGCATTCGGGAGTTGAGGGCGCAGGATAAGTGGTGACTTCACAGCGAAGATGGAGGCGGCGCGTCCCCAAGTCCATGACGCGCTGGGTGGCAGTTGGAGAACGACGCACCGAAGGCACATCGTGCGCATCTCAACCTTCCGAAATACCGTCGTCATTTTCTACCACAATTCAAGCACTCTACCCCAGGCCGCAAATATGGTTGAATTCCAGATTACCAAGACTGCGGATATACAAACGCGCGTGGAGGACTACCTGAATGACAAGATACAAACTGCGGCGGACTTGGACCAGGTTGAGAGCCTGCTGCAACGGGTGCAAGAACAGCAGAATCTATTGCGGAAGCAGGTGAGGTTTCCCATCTCGTATTTGGGCTGGATCTAATTTTGTACAAGCTCGAAGATGCCCGGAAGGACTACACGCAGGCTGTAAACCGAGTCGACGAGCGATCTAATGAACTAAGGGAAAAGGCCGAAGCATTCAAAAAGGAACAAACCGATTTAGACGAGCGGCTCAGAGATCTTGCACAATCAAATGTGAGCGACGATGCGGCGCAAAAAGTTGAAGCTAGGATGAGCAAGGTGCGCAGCCTCGAAGTCGCTCAAGGTTATCTAGAAGTAGTCCAGCACATGGACACTTTGAACAACCAAGCCCAACAGAACTTGGTCGCGCATCCGGACATATCAGTCAAAGCATATATTCGACTGAGGGACATGTGGAAGCACATTCAGGATGCGCAGCCGGCTGCGGAAGGTGCAGCGCCTCAACTAGCATACCTCCTCGAGCAACAATCGCAGCAACTCTATACCAGCATCAAGAAATCTCTGGAGGGGAATCTGCGTGACACTCTTGCACAAATGAATTGGCCAGGGAAAGAATTGAAATTATCGGACAATGTACGTGAGAGATGGGAACAAGAAGTCAGATTACTTCTCGAACTACAAGATCCAGACCTCATTGCAGCGTTCGCAGGCATCGACACTCGAAGTCGGTCTTCGACCCCTGACCCTGTCGATCTCCTCCCACTTGAGGTGATGGTTCAGCCTTTGGCAGTAAGGTTCCGCTATCATTTTTATGGAAATAAACCGACGAATCGACTGGACAAGCCCGAATACTTCCTCACCCATGTCCTCGATCTCCTAGAGACACACAGTGGATTCATGAGCGATATGTTGGGTCCTATCTTAGATGACAGAATGTTTCAATCTGAGGCTCTGGAATCTATATATGCTGACGCAGTCTCCGCGTTCATCACGGCGCTGCTGCCGATGGTTGAAGCAAAGTGTCTGTCTTTTCTGCCTCAAATCTCCCAACAACCACAATTGTTGTCTCACTTCATGCACGAGTTGATGGCATTCGATACTGCTATTCGTGACGCTTGGGCGTACGTTCCAATTCCCAGGATGTTAACAGAGTGGAAAGGAATCACTTGGAGGATGCTCACCACGCACGGCTACTTTGCCATGTGGCTTAAAGTCGAGAAAGATTTTGCTCTTTCTCGATACAAGAGTATTAGAGATACTCCGGATAGCAACGATATTGACTTTGACGCAGACGCCACTCAGACAAAGCCGACCAAAGGAGCAATTCGTGTCAACGACCTTTTGGAGACGATCACGGATCGATACAGAGGTCTTTCGTCCTTCAGCCAGAAGATGAAGTTTCTCCTGGAGATTCAATTGTCTGTCTTTGATGACTACCACAACCATCTCCATGGTGCGCTACAAGCCTATCTTGTATCCTCCCACACCGCCGGCCGGTTACTTCAGGGACAATCTGAGGCAGAGGCCTTCGGTTTGAAAGGCTTGGAATCACTGGCCAAGATATTTGGTAGTGCTGAGTTTCTCGAACGGAAAATGTCTGATTGGAATGATGAAGTTTTCTTTCTGGAGCTGTGGGACGAACTCCAATATCGGGCCAAGGCAAACAGCGGCGCAGGTGCTTCAATTGGTACAGATTTGAGGGTGGATGACGTCGCAGACAAGACCTCAACGGCTATCAAGTCAAATGGAACAGAGACGGATACTGATACGGACGGAAGCGGACTGTTTGATCAGACTGCTTCAGCATACCGACGGCTACGTGAACGTAGCGAGGAGGAAATGCTCCGTTTCTTCGACATCAATCTGAGGTCCGCACTGCGACCATATACGAAGCTTGCCCAGTGGTCGTCTCTTGTCGAGCCACAGTCCGATCCGATGGCGATGACACCTTCTCCAAGTCTCGATAGTTTGCTCCAAACAACAGCCACCCTGCTTGGGTATTTATCTCGGGTACTGGCTCCGGGATCGATGCGACGCATATGTAAGCATTACTGCTCGACACTGCAGAAGGAGCTCTACGATAACGTTATAATGCACCATACGTTCTCAGCCACTGGTGCAGCACAGCTGGCAAGAGACCTTTCCGAGATCAGAACAAGCATCGAAAAGCACAGCAGATTGCTAGGAGTTACGGGACCAGGTCTGAGACGGCTCGAGGAAGCAGTCGACCTACTTTCTCTAGATGCTTCGAAAGCTCTGGGCAACAACGAAGAGGATGAGTGGGGGTTTGATGATGACGACGACGAAGAGCAGACAACAGGACAAATTACGGCAGATGAAGCTATCACTGATGATGGCGAGGTCAAGAAGCTTGGACTATGGGATGTGGAGAAGCTGATCTTCGAGAGCAACGAAGCAGCACGAAAGGCTCTTGGGGATATGGGCCTATATCAACTCAGCGAAGGGGAAGCAAGGAACATATTGAAACGCAGAGTCGAACTGAATGGTTAAGGAGGTCCCGTAGAGAAGAGGCGCAATGAGCCTCCCTACTTGGGTAAGGTATACACACATAATATATTCCGTACCTAGCGTCAATGGGGCCACCAGGCCAGCAGCCCAAGCCTCATTGGTACCTTTTCTGCTATTTATAAGCCCGTGCTGCATCAAGGCCACAGCTTTGGTGACTCACCACTATTCAGCCGGCATATATGAATCGAGCAGATTCCGTCCTTCTGTATCAGTCGACCCTGCAATCGAAGGCTCTGCCTCCCGACACGCGAGAAAGACTCGCCTCAAGTAGTCCCTCTCTGCAAAGGGAGTTTCAGTTGAGCAGATATGGTTTTCGAAAACGACCGGCCTTTGACCTCGCTCCAAAGCGTCATCCTGACAACTGGGCCATTCGTATTTCTCTGGAGTACATTGAGAGGCTATGTCGCGCGCAACGGGCCCTTCAGCGTCGCTCGACCGGTCACCCGTCTCAACAGCCAGGTCTACGCCTTGTTCTCCCTCGCCCTGGCGTACTTGATCCTGAACGACGTGTTTCACTTCCAGGATCTTCAACAAGTAGTCAAGAGTTCGGACCTGGCATACATCTACCACCTCTCCAAGTTCTACGAGTACATCGACGTCTTCAACCTGGTGGCTGCTGGCACACCGATCAATCCGCACATGGCATTCCACCACATCACCACGCCCTTCCTGACGCACTTCCGCGTCCTGAACGCCTCCGACTGGCAGCTGTTTGCCTTCCTCAACTGCTTCCACCACTTCTGGATGTACGCCTATTTTGGTGGTGTGACTGCGTTCAGGCCCATTCTGCGCGTCACCGGCTGGGTGCAGCTGATTGCTGGGATCGGAATGGACGTCTACTACTTTGCCTCGCAGGGCCAAGGAGCGCCCGAGGCGAGAAATCGGGCCATCGGCATCATGATCTTGACCCGCTATGCGATGCTTTACTACGAAGAAATAAAGACGGCAAATGGGGGGAATGCGGACGGGGCAGGACAGAAAGGCAGGAAAGCGGACTAGGTAAGACATACATTCTGCTGGATTAGTGGTATGATTCAACCAAGATTGACATTTCGCGGCAAGCTGGCTGCGTTTACCCCAGGCTCAGTTTGCGACGTTGATCAACATGGACTTGACGCTCAAATACTCCTCGATGCCTTGACGGCCACCTTCCCGACCATAGCCACTTTCCTTGACGCCGCCAAAAGGACTCTCGCAGGCGCTGAGCAGCCCAAGGTTGACTCCAACCATGCCGACCTCCAACGCCTCCGTGACCCGAAATGCGCGCGGAATGTTTTCAGTGCAGATGAAGGAACCTAGACCGACATTGCAGTCATTGGCCATCTTTATGACGTCTTCCTCGGTCTCGAATTCGTAGAGGCCGACCACGGGAGCGAAGGTCTCTTCTCGTGTAGTGATCATCTCCCGATTCATTCCTTTGATGATCGTCGGCTGAAGGAAGTAACCCTTGAAGTCTTTCATCGGCTCTCCTCCGAGGATGACCTGACCGCCGTGTTTCTTAGCATCTGGTTTTTAGTTAGCCACCACCCGTTGGAGAACGACCCGGTACGGCACTTGCCATTAATGTGGTTCATCGCCTTCTCAACAGCTCGCTCGTGCGTCAATGGGCCCACGAAGACCCCTTCCTCAGTTCCCGGGCCGACTTTCAGAGATTTGATTTTGACCGTCAAAGCTTCGGCGAATTTATCATAGATACCCTTTTGTACAAAAATCCGGTTGGCAGTCACGCAGGTCTGGCCAGAGTTCCGGAACTTGGCCAATATGCAAGCTTCCACCGCGGTTTCGAGTTTGGCGTCGTCGAACACGATAAATGGGCTGTTCCCGCCCAGCTCGAGTGATAGTTTCTTAAGACTATCACTGCATTGTCTTGCGAGGAGTTTGCCGACGCGAGTACTGCCCGTGAAGCTCAATTTTCGGACTAAACTGCTTTTGCACAGTGCTTCGCCGACTTCGTTGACAAGATTGAGCGTGGTGATGACGTTGATGGTGCCTTTGGGAAACCCAGCTTCATGCGCGAGAACGGCTTGTGCAAGCGAACTCAACGGTGTCTCCCCGGCCGGTTTCCACACCGTGGTGCACCCTGCTGCTAGTGCTGCGCCGACTTTTCTCGTGATCATGGCAATTGGGAAGTTCCAAGGAGCTAGACAAGCAGCGACCCCAATAGGTTGCTTGAACGTCAAGATGCGTTGATTTAAGTTGGCCGTAGGGACAACCTCGCCGTGAACTCTCTCGGCTTCTCCAGCAAACCATTCGAGGAATGAAGCCGCATAAGTGACTTCGCCTTTGGCTTCGACCAGGGTTTTTCCATTTTCAAGAGTCAGAATCAATGCAAGATCATCGATGTTTTCTAGGCAGAGGTCGCTCCATTTCCGCAACCACCTGGCGCGCTGGCGTGCGCTTGTCTTTTTAAAGGTCTGAAAGGCCTCGTGTGCAGCTTCAATGGCTTTGTTAGTGTCCTCAGCACCCATTTCGGGGAGAGTTGCAATTTTGTCCAGTGTAGCAGGGTCATAAACGTCAAATGTTTTGCCCGAGGCTGCATCGACCCAGCTCTCGTTGATGTACCCTTTCGTCTGAAACAGGTCTTTGCGCTTTAAGTCGCTCAAGGTTTTTGGCGCCATATTGACTTGCCGGGGTTGCGAAAGCCCTGTCTGATCCTCGAACTTTTGTTTAAGATAGAATGAAAGTGAATTGAGCTTGTTGCAAGTCGTCAAAATTCTGAATGCGCAAATGGGGATCTGGATAGATTCGTGGGCTGAGGAGTCCCAAATGGATGACGAAAAGCTCAGCGTCTGGGTCGGCAATTCAACTTTATATCGCCAGGATGACTATTCCACACTGACATTGACAAGCAGAAGGCAATCACCCTCATAGGCCCACACCCCACATTTTGGCGTTGGAGAGAAGACGTTCATGGCGCTGTATCGAAACCCAAATTACCTCCCGTGCGGGGGTTTGTTGGAGGAGTTTCGTCACAAGTTCCTGAGGGCCGAGGGCTGCAAGAATGGACATAGCTCGGCTTCACCGGGTGTTGGAGAAGGCTCGTATTGTAAGTAACGGGAGGATTCTTGTCTAGTCATTCAGTTGACTCTGTATACCTAGCTTGCCAGGTCGAGGTTGACCTGTTTTTCTCCGGAGGTGTAGTGATTGCGGTATTTCTCGATTCAGGCAATTTTCGCTCGGACCCAAGAGCAGGGATAATGGCCAGGGTTGATTTCGAACGGGTCAACTCTCTTCTATTTGAACATGGTGCCATGGTCGATGCTAAGAGCTTCGCACATTATGATGTTGCATGTTTTGTATGTTGTTGACACTCCGCTAGGGCAAATGGCGCACAATGCTTAGAAGTCTAGGACAAAAAGGGTTAGTGTGTCAAGGCTGTCGGCTAACTTACCTCCTTTGCCTCCATGCTCCTGCTACATCTCATCTTGAACTGTCCAAGCCTCCTTGCCTTGTTGTCTCTCCACCTCTCTGATGCTGCTGTCCTTACAATAGGAAGGTCTCGCAAAAAGGCCGTCATCAAAGAAACCTTTGTCCCGACTCCACTCTCACCGGCTTGGAGATTCGACAGCCTGCAGAGAGTGGATTGCAATTTTGACTCCCCTTCATCGTGGGAGGGACGAGCAAATGAAGAGCAGAAAGCAAAGCGCTGCAGACCTTGACTCTGGAGCATATTTCCTTCTACTTGCCTTCGTCATCAACGTGTCAACTCTTAATTTGGAGCTGCTTGACTGTCCTTGTGCCATGACTCGGTCAGGACGGAACCGAGGGTACCGGACGGCGTCACGATCGTCCATCAACCATCTCAGGCTGCACCAGACACCATTTGGTCAGGATCAAATAAATACCTTCATGGCCATATTACAGCCACCTCGGTCCGAGAATCTTGAGACGCTGCACATTGAGCTGCAGCCATACATAAAAGATGACAGACCCTGCGCAGTATGTGTATCGAGCAGGCAGCTGCGAGCATCGGGATTAAATGGCTCTTCTTGAGAGGATGCTTCGACACCCACCATAAACGTTCAATCTTTGATAACCGGAAGGTCGGCAGGCTGACCTGTACCAAGTACGAGGTAGCCCTGAGAATCCACCAAACTGCGTCAGTCTTGGCTGCCCAGGTTTGCTGGAGAGGGGCGAGGAGGCAGTGAAAAAGCTTCCGATTCGAACAACACTGTATGTGGTTATTTAGGGATAGTGTATGCTGTGACGTGAATTGGTGATTTAGGATTGGTGATGTTCAATGTTCCTAAGGATAGACAAAAGGACATCGCCAGGCTGTAGGATATCGAACGAAGATAGTATCGGATTTGGTGATCAAACCCACCTCTTGAGGCACCTCCAACCCTTGGTAGGTACGGACTTCTTTTCAAGGTAAGGGACAACTGCCAGCTACTGCGGATCGTCGAAAAAATCCCCCTGAAGCTAGCTCAGTATTCTCTACCGAGTATGTCTGAGCAGAGAGGCTCACTTTGTTCAGGTCCACGGTAATGCAAGGCTTCCGACGCTCCAAGACCCTTCGTTGGAGGCATGGTTGATTAGTTTACGACAGGCATTGGTGGTTGATAACTCTAGGGGCTGTTTGTGTGTCCGACCTTAGTTTAGGGAAGCTGAGCTTCATGCGTACGATGAGTGTCAGCGAGCAACTCCCTGAACCTAGGCGAGGGGAGCCCAATCTGGCTCCTTTCGTCTGCTATTACCTGTCTTGTGGTACTGTACTCGGTGCTCATATCAAGGTACCTCGCACTAAGGTCGGCCATCGGGACTCCAGATTCGGCAGTCGGCAGGCCTAGGGGGTGAAATTGAGCATTGGGCCCTCCTTGTCGTCAGCATCACCCGCATTCTGTGCTCTCTCCAGATTGATCCTTCAGTCAATATTGGAGAAAAATTCGACATTGATATTTTTTTCCCCTTCACCAAGGCTGCGGAAATAATGGGATAAAAGATGTAGCTGCCCGTACAACGAAAGTTTAAAGCCACCACAGCGCCCTTGACCTCGTCACAAAACGCACCACAGCATATGCGAAAATCTTTCTCCCCCTTGCCAGCCCCTCAAAATTTGATGGATTTCTTTTTGGAAGGCCTTGACTAGTCCCCGGACTCTAGTTGGCGTGCCTAAGGGGCCACCTCGCCTCCTAGCCTCGTAAGAGCTTCCCGGTCGCCTTTGGTCTTCGGCTGGCGCCCATTAAATTAGCTTTGGCTCCAGATGCAGCTGATGCGCCATTGCCAAACGGCCTTTTTCGGCCAGAAACGTTGAACCAACTCCACGTGGAGAATGGGAGATTGCCTCTTATCAGCCAGCCAACTGGTCTTCCAAGCCCTATGGAAGGCTCTGGACCACCCCTGTGTCTGTCCAGCTGACGCATCGACTCGGCCACTGCTAATGTGGCTTGATGGTTACAGGGGTTCCACAGATACAACAGATACTTCCGTGCTCACATTGTGAACGAAGTCAGCGCGTGGAAGTTGTGAATGTACAAGAGCAAATCCTCTAACTATTATACATTTTGGCCCTCGACATAAATGATGCTGTTGAGCACATGTCAGCCAGCAGGAGTCTGCAAAGGAATAATACTTGCACAGGTGCCTTTCAGGTTCCACCGTCCCAGGCTTGCGGTCTCGGCTCTCGAAAGCATGGGGGTCCTAGTTAGGCCATGCGCTGGGAGCCCCGAGCGCTAAGCAGGGTGGCTTTCCAGGCCAGCCTTTTCCGGCCATCACCAGTTTCCACATATTGACTTCGTCCACGTTCGTTTTGCGCCTCTTGCAAGTCACATCATTTCAGGATCTACGAATCGATAGCCCGAAAGTCTGACGCTGACCATGGTCAATCACCTTTTCGATCCTCGGCAGGGCGGTGTGGGTTAGAATCATTTGAAATGGCTGACTGCAGGCTGTTAGGGTCAAGGAACTTCGCTCATCACCATCTCGTCCGCACCCACCCTCACGGATCCCCAGTGTCGAAGCCACTAGCAGGAGAAACCACTTTGCTTGGTCTCCTTAACTTTGAAACCTACCGTACGGAGGACCAGCTGGGTGGTCTGCACGAGTCGATATAATAAGTAACTTTCAGGCCAGCACATCTGAAGTTGTGCTTCCTCTTTTGCTGAGCCGCCGCATTTAAAATCTTTGGTTGACCCAGCCTAGTTGTCCTTTTTTTCCTTTGTTCACTTTGTTAAGCTTGATTTCCGCAGAACGAACTTTGAACGAGCTGCATCACCATCGCTCAATACAACCTTCAGGATGGTCGCCGCGGGCGCTTTGCAAGTAGGAATCTGCGGCGCTGGTGTTGCTGGACTCAGCGCCGCCATCGCCTTGAGAAAAATCGGGCATGATGTTGAGGTCAGTGAACTTCATCTCTCCAGAACAGTGCCTCTTGTGTTTTGTTCAGAATGTGTAATCGGAGAGAAACTGATCTCTTCCGCCCAGATCTTTGAGCGCTCACAGTTCAAGAACGAAAATGGCGCCGCCGTATCCATCACGCCAAATGGTACGCGGGTTCTGGAGCATTGGGGATTCGACCCGATCAAAGCCGGCGGGATTGAGAATATTCAGGTAGGTTGGATGGAAGAAGATCAGGGGGTTTCAAGGAGATATGATTACTCCCGACCGCTGGAATCCTTGCCCGCCGCTAGTCGAGGATGTCTGCTGACAAACCCATCCAGGCCCGTCGACCAAAGGGTGATACACTGGAACCAATGGCTCCCACATTGAACTTCTCCAATGTGGAGCAGTTATATGGCAACAAGTGGTTCTTCTATCACCGAGTCGACATGCATCGCCGCCTAAAAGAACAAGCCGAAGAAGCCGGGACGGTCATCAGGCTGGGAAACCAAGTCATGGATGTCGACCCTGAGACGGGAGTAATATCATTGAAGGACGGGACGAGAGTGCAAAAAGATCTTGTTATCATAGCTGATGGCCAGCATGTTAGCATTGTTCATCACCGACCTTGTTGCAATAAAGTTTCTGACTTGTTATTAGGATCGCTTAAACGCTAAGATTACCGGCAAGGAGGTCCCGATGAAGAGGAGCGGCCAGACAGCATATCGCTGCCTCATTCCCATGAAGGAAATCCTCGCGGACGAGGAGACCAAATTTCTGTTTGAAAATCAGCCGCCCGGGTTCTGGGCCCCCGCCTTGCCATCCAAAGGTGTTATGGCCGTTACATATCCTTGCAGAAACAACGAAATCCTCAATGTGCTGGCCGTGCACCGAAAACTAGGCCAGCATGCATCGAGTGAAGATGATGTGGTTATCGAGGACTGGAACTTCCCTGCTACGCACGAGGACCTGGAGAAAGTTCTTGATGGTTTCCATCCGGTCGTCAAAAAGGTCTTTTTGAAGTCGCCGGAGGTGAAGGTCTACACGCAGATGAAGCGAGATCCTCTAAGCAAAATGACCAAGGGAAAAGCTGTCTTGATTGGCGACGCTTGCCACCCGATGCTCCTGACTCACGCTCAGGGTGTTTCATCCTCCATCGAAGATGCCGCCGCTCTCGAGCTCTTCCTCGCCGATGTCCCCGCCTCCGGAGATGTTACTTCCGCTCCGTCACAGAAGCTGTTACAGCGTTTGGCCCAGTTTGAAGCCTTCCGCCTACCCCGAGTCTCTGCAACACAGATCCTGACAGATCCTGTCGTTCCCGGACCGCAAGCTGCGGCCAACTATGCCAAGCAAGAAGCCGAAATCCGAAAGTATTACTCCGGCCCTCTTCCACCGACGGGATCAATGCCGCACAGCCCACCGATTTGCCAATTTTTCTTCGGTTATGATGTTAGGAAAGAAGCCATGAAATTCCTTGCCGACATCGACGGCAACAAGCAAATGAATCGAGATGTACCTGCGCCTATGGCTTCTCCAGTTCCAGAGGAGAAGGCCCTTGTCCAGGTCCCTGCTCCAGTTCAACCACGTGCTGCGGAGACACCTGTCATCTCGCCCGATGCAAAAGAGACAACAACAACCACCGATGTGAGTGCGATGGCGCAAAAGATTAAAGAGCTCGAGCGCAGATTGGCCGAGATGGAGAGCAAGTTGGCCGGGATGAGTGTCCACATCTCGTTCAGGGAGGTTCAGCCAACGCCACCTGAATCGCCGCCAACCGCGTTCGGGAGATCTCCTTTTACTGTCACCGCTTCTTGAGCTGAAATGTCCGACTCCCAAGCAATTTCTACTTTGTATGGTCCTGATGGGGAAAAATTGTTTTTTAAGTTGTATAACACGGGGCTTGTCGATAGAAGCGGGAGTAATGGGAAGGCCGAAGATATGCGATATTATGAAGAATTTTGAACATGGAAACTCTCTAATGAAGAAATACATTTGGGGATTTTTATCCACGTCTGGAAAACAGCTCGGTTTTTCTTGGTTTCTCGATCCTGATGGCAGCCCGGAGGTGCTACGGACCCCAGACGAGACCGACGCCACCTCAAGACAGAGGTTCGCCGAGACGGCGGCCCAGTTGAAACCCATACTTGACCGGTCGATCATCCGGAACCAAGGACGGGAGAGCTGAGCAGTGACCGCAGCTGACAGCAGGGCAAAGAGCCCACCAATGGCCTAGACTGTTATTAACACAAAGCATTTTGCAAGTGCATTGAGATCTGAGAAATCCTCCTCCCCTTTTCGGCCCACGGGAACCATTTCGCTGTATTAGCCTTCCGCCTGTTCTACAATGATACGTCAAGACCATGCCTTTGTGCCTCCAAAGGAGAAAATATAGAGGACAATGTATAAGAACTTTTTTTCTCTCCGTCAGTAGTCGAATTGAGTCGATTCTCACGAAGCCGCCGGTGCGGGTCCTGGTGTATTCCATTGCCCTAACCCACTCACTTTCCGCACCGCCTGCGCGTACCACCGATCAGAAGGATTATTACGGGCCTTTTCCTGTAACATCGTGGTGGCTGTTTTTGTGACTGAAGTTCTGCACCAAGTGGTTCGCATTGTATTTGAGCAGGAGCTCAAACGCCTCGATGCTCCAGTGCACGCCTATGATGCAATGCAGAACGGTGTCGCCGTTCGTCAAATTCTTGTCGTCCAGATTCGCGCCGTTCTAGAGCAAGAGTTCAAGCAGTCGTGTGGCATTCACGGCCGTTTTTCCCGTGTGGACCGAACAGACGTTCACCAGGAGGAAGAGTGGTGTGAAGCCGCTGGCATTTAATTCCTGGAGCATTGATTTCTTGAGCTCATTGTCATAGATTGTACTGAAGACCGCGTCGAGTGCATACGGATCCCGTCTCCTGATTGCTAGGTGGAGGACATTCTCACCGAGATTGGGGTCCCTCACGTATATCTTAGTGCCGAAATTGGGAGCCAGCAGGAGCATCAATGCATCACGCTCCTCTTGCAGTAGTGGTCCATTACCGGTTAAAAGTGTCAGTAAGGGAGTGTTGCCCATCTTATCTCTGGCGTTCGGATTTGCCTTGGCCATGAGCAGAATGTACACCGTAGTCGAATATCCAGACCACAGTTCCTGCGCAATGGCGAAGTGTAGATATGTCTTGCCGCTGCTCGGGTCTTTGGCGCCGACATCTGCGCCGCTCTGAAGCAGAGCAATCAGACATTTGTTGTGTTTTTCTGTTCTCCCCAGAACTACATTGAGCATTGGCATCCACCTGGGCTTGCCAGTCCGACCTGGGTTGCATCCGACAGCGAGAAGTTCGCATACGGCGGACGCCTGGCCCTGGGACACGAAACAGGGTAGATAACCGTAGAATTCATCATTCCATATCATTACAGGTCGACTTCCTCCCAAAAGCTTTCTCTTGTTGAAAGAAATGACTGAGGTCGGCGTCGTGGTTGCTTTATGGTCCAAAATCCGTTTCATAATGACCGTCGCTGACTCCCACTTGCGCCCAATTCTGTCAGTCCCAGGAACCCCTTCCAGGAACGATCCCAGAGGTTGCACTGCGGGGGGAGCTCCCGAGCCACTTGATGCCAGCTCCTGGGTTTGAAGAGTTTCTGACTCTTCCACCGGGCTGAGAGCATTGGCGTTTACCGTAAACGTTGGCTGTACAGTTCCAGGACTAGATTGATTGTTGGTCGTGGTAAGTGTTGGTTCCGCTCCTGGCCCGAGCACTTCGCCTTCCGCAGACGGCTTCTCTGCAGTCATGACGCCTGGCCGAACCATGTTCATACATATTGGCTGCTCCACATTGTTTTGGAGCATTTCGGTCTGTGCGACAGATTGCTCCTGCACAGTATCGGCCTTTTCGTCTCTAATGGCATCTGGACTTTCTGCCGTAGCTCCAGGCCAGTCACCCAGAGGAGAAACCTCTTGTTTTGCAAAACCGGGCGTATCATTGTCCAGTGCGTGTGGTTTGGTGTGATCCAGAGGCTCTTTGTCTTCATTCTCCTGAGGCTTATGGTTCGCACTTGCCTCATCACTGTGCGACCTGTCATTAAAAGTTGTGGATTCACTAGGCTTCTCTGCAGCACCTTCCCCTAGTGGTTCAGTGAGTTCTCTGCTTTGCTCCTGGATTTTTGCATTCATTATCTTTTGCAAACTCGGGGGCAACATCAACGTCCTGACAGGGGGACGGCAATAAAACGAAACTCGCACTGAACCTCTTTAAGTCTTTTACGACATCAAGCCGGTGGTCCTCGAGGGAATCATACATTCGCCTAAGATCCCCATCGCTCGGGTAGCGAATGAAGGTCGATGGGAGAAAGTCAGAAGATTGCTCGTGACGGTATCGACCATGATTTGCCCTGGAGCGGAGATTGTCCTGACTTGCGAATCTCAAGGGCGTGTGTCTCTCTGACACTGGGTCTCGATGTGGAGGAGGTAATGAAGGTTCCTCGATATGATGTTCAGAAACGTATTCAAACTCTTGGTTTTTGGCTGGCAGTGACGTTAAATAGTGGTTAACACGCTGTTGCCGGACAGTCTGGTAATTTGATATAGTGTCGTTTCCCTTGCCACTGACCTGTCGACTTCGACTCCGACTCGATCCGCCTCGCTTGCGGGATGCCGAGTCTCGAGATTTCCGTGGTTCTCTCTTTACTGACTTCTGCCGATTTGAAGTGCGATTAACCACTGTATTTGCAATCTTCAAAATTGTCTGTTGTATCCACATCGGCCGGACTCCCCCTCCGCTTTGGGTTCGATGGTGGGGTGTTGGCGTCTGATGAATGTCGCCGGGATCGCTTTTTGTTATTGGCGCTTGTTGGGCTGCGTAGAATGAAAGTTCAGGACCGGAAGTCATTGGCTCCGAAGGATATGACCCAGGGAGTTTCCATTGAGCCGTGGTGGGAATGTTTTTTGGCTGAGTTTTCCCAGGAAGCTCCGTTTCTTCCTCATCGCCACACGGCGACAACGAGCTTTCCGATTCAGTCTCCGACTCCTGCTCGAGGCAACATGATCCGCAAAAACTCCCATTCTGAGAGGAGCGAACTGTTAGATATAGCTCTATGGCTGTCGGTCTGCTGTCCATGGCTCGTTCAAGCATTCTTTGAACCCACGCCAGAGGTTCATTGTCGGCTGGTGTAAAGGTCTAGGATTTCAGTTCTTGAAACCCATCCTAGAGCAGCTTCTCTATTAGCATGAACTCACTAAACCTGGCTCTCATTGAGAAGACACTTCGAACCCTCGAACAAGTCCTGACGGATGCAGACACATTGCAGAATGACTATGGCCTGAAGATCGAGATAACTGCAGATGAAATCCAAGAGCTGCACAACTCCAAGAGGCTGTTTCGAGGCATTAAGATCCTCAGCAATAATGCTACCAAAGAACTCCTCAACGACACCGCTAGAGTCTATCAACGATGGACTTCGTGGAAAAAGTTCAAGTGGGCGGTATTTGATCAGACAAAGTTTGAGACTCTGATCCGAGATGTTCAATTCTTCAGCGAGCAGCTGCGTAGCACCATCCATTGGACAGAACAGGGTCAATACACTGGTAATTCCTGCCACACCTTAAGATCTCTCATCAACCAGACTAATGACAAGGACCTCCTGGAGATTATCACGAACAAGTTGGATGCCTTGGACAGTGCCATCCATGCCTCCGCTCGCTTGAAACAGGGATCGCTGCTTTTGGAAGTTCTGGACGATGGCCCAAACGGTCAGGGCTGGCTGCTGCCTTCACGAACCCATCGACCGACATCTTTCCTCTCCCCTTCAAGACCATCGATGATCACGAGACAGGCGTCTCCGGGAAGAGACTTGAGGTGTGATTTCAAATCTCTTCGACGACCTTCGCCAATAGCCGACCAAACGTTGTACCGTGTAGTGGCCAGCTATAACGACCAAAAGGTTGTTCTAGAATTGGAAACTCTACCCCAGCATATAGAACGACGACTCAAACACCGGATCGCAACAGTCGCTGATCTCTTGTCAGGGTTGAGTAGTCCGGCATTTCATTCTCTCAGATGCATTGGTTATCTGAAAGAGCCCAAGACTTTACGATATGCGTACATCTTTCAACCGCTTAAGGACGACGAGTTTTTGATGCGAACTCTTCAGAACCTCGTGGCGGGAGACGGTTTGCGCCCTAGTATCAATCAGAGACTGGCAATTGCTTTAGCATTGACCGAGACGGTCTTGCACCTTCACACTGCTGGGTGGTTGCACAAGTCATTACGCTCAGACAACGTCCTGTTTTTCCAAAGTACGAAAGCAGATTGGTTGAGTCTCGAGGACATCGCAGAGGCATACCTCGGAGGCTATGAATTCGCCAGATGCGACAACATGCTCGAAATGACAGAGGGCCCGGGAGCATTTGAACATTCTCGCCTATATCGTCACCCACTCTCCCTTAGCGAGGATCGAATTCCATTTGTAATGCCTTTGATCTCTACAGTCTCGGATGCGTTCTGTTGGAAATCGGCCTTTGGCGGCCATTGTTGACGATGATACTAGACTGGACAAGGAAGCATTTGGACTCAAGCAGCAACTCGTCACACTACCGTCTGCCTAATCTCAATCCAACGGGGATCGCCGAGTTGGAATCGATATTTTCCGAGAATGAGAACTTCCTCTCCAGTGTGCAAAGCGGAAGAATTGCCGAGGAGCTCAGGTTTTGTATGGGGAGAACATATACGGGGGTGGTGGAAAAATGTTTGAATGCTGCTGCTTCCTATATTTCTGTTCCACCTGCCAACGAAGGCTGCGATGATAATGACTCGAATCTTGACATCTCCCTTGACCTACAGCAAGAGTGTCTGCAAACCCTCAGATCCTTGATCGATCTCACGTTTAATATATATACAATAAACCATACCCAGAGGTAGACGTTACACCTATCTGGCAATCACGCTGGCAAGGCTACCGGATATCAATCCTCACAAGGATAGATCATCGGTCATTTTAGTTGACCATTCTCTGCGGACATCTGAAAGAGGCCGCTACTCCTCGTCGCAGAAAAACAGCACGGTTTGAAGCTGAAGCGAGGGTATATAAATGCAGAAGACCTCTCTTCCTCCTTCCTTTCTGATCCGTCCCCCTTGAGATTGGGTAGACTTGTTAGTTGCAGAACTCTTACTCGAATACTAACTTTAATGAAGAGTCAGTCTAAGCTAGGAGGGGAGGGGTGATAGTGTTAGGGGTACTCAGTATTTTGGAATATAGACCGAGGTGCAGCAAATCTCAGCCTCGTCGCGCCAGTCGCTAAATCGCGGCACGGCTTGGCATCGCAGCGCCGAGTCGAGTCGAATTGAATCTAGTAGCTGCGTCCGTGGTTAGCATGGGCCTGGTCCTAGATCACCCAGACATTTCACTTTACCTCATTTTTCTCCTCTTCAGTCGTTGACGGCGGCTGCGTGCACTCTTTGCACCTGCCGACGTCAAAGATGCGGCTTCAGCTCCTCATCCAACGCCACTCCCTCCCACCTGTTACCATCATTCACACGACAGGCAGTGGCCCCGCCTCACATACCAAGTCCCGGTCCGCCACGATTGCCGACCTCCTCGCCGACGTCAATGACCTCGTGCCCCTCGAGTCTGCCGACGGCGAGTGGGGTCTGGAAGATTACGCCGTCGAAGTCGCTTCCACCGCAGACCAAAACTTGACGTACGAGTGCTTGCATTTTCAAACCCTATACTCTGTGCTGAGAGAAGATGATGAAGTGGTGATCAGGGCGCTGAGCAATGAAGATCTAAGAGTTAGGAGATTAGGTGGACGACATCAGATTACGGGCGACGGCAGACATCTGATTGATGGCGTGGCATTCGGGAAGCAGTGGTTGAAACAGACACAGAGGCCGGGTATCGTGATTCCGCCTAGGAAGAAGAGGAAAATTTTGTTTGATGAGGATGTCGGTGTTGCGGGCGAGGAAGACGCAAAGCGCACTCTCCCTTCTCCTGCTGAGGGGGGAGATCGCATGGATGCTTTGGTACTCTTTCAGGGTTGTGAAGAAGACGAGGACGACGAAAACGATCATGATTATGTGGATGAAGCCGATGCGGACGCTGATGGGCCAGGATTGCAACTCACTGTCAGAGAAGATTTCGATGACGCAGACGCCGACTCAGAAGACGAATTCGAGCTGAATGGTGAAGATGAAGGCGAGAATCTCTCCTCAGAGCTCGAGAATCTGCTGGAAGATGCCGCCGAGATTGAACAAGCTGCCAACATGGCCATTGCAATGCAAGTCCTCGACGGAAAGCTGAAGAGAAAAAGAAACACCGGAGACGACGGCGAAGAGTATGAAAATGAGGTATTTGAAGGATTCTCCACTCCTATACGAAGCTCATCTGCTGGGCTCAATCGCATGTCCGGTGCTCGAGAAGATGGTAGGACCAACTTAGAGGACGACGAAGGCGAAAGCCGAAACAACATGACGAGGAAGAATGCTGATCGGCGAGCTGAAAAGCGTGCGGGAAACGCTCTCGAGGACGATGAGGAAGACTCCGAGGATTCAGATACAACTAGGAGCTCCGATATCTCATCCTCTGACTCCGAGGCTGATAGCACGATGGAAGATACTGCTATGCAGCAAGCCAAGAAACGAGCTTTGAGCCTCATCAGAGATGGTGATGTTGATCACAACACATCATCAAGCTCTGATTCTGAAGAGGATGAGAGTGACGATGATATCACCTCCAGCTCGGAATCTGAGTCTGATTCCGTGAAACCTACGTCGTCAGATTCTGAAACGTCAGAATCCGAATCCGAGTCCGAACCCGAATCAGAGATAGAAGAGAGAAACACGAACAGGCCGTCCGAGTCCAAGACAGCTTCCTCTACAGCAGCCTTACAGACTAAAGGCGCTAAAGGAAAGCCGGCGAAGTCATCGGTAGGCGTTCCTTTCCAGGGGACAAATAGGACGCACTATAACAATGACAGGGCTAAAAGAAGGAAGCGGCTCAATCAGCTTAAGAAGCAGGGGTTGCTACCTGAGAATGCCGCTTTTGAAGATCTAGCGAAGTATGAGTCCACGCAACAACAGAAGATGGAAGAAGAACAAGAACAAGAACACGCCGCCGAGCAACGAGCTGATCGCCAAGTCGAGGAAGTGGCGGCTAAGGCAGCCGTGAACGAGGTCGAGGAAGAGAATGTGAAGCCTTCAAAAAGAGCAGAATCAGCTGTAAGCAACGACGCCCCTGTCGAGCCTACATCTGCGGGGCTCGAAATACCGGAGACATCTCAGATCGATCCCGTTGTCCCAGAGTCAGCTCCAAAGAGGGCTAGGCTCGACGTGGCTAGTTCTCGTCGTCTCGTTTTCGGATCCCTAGGCCTGAGAGCGCCCAAGACCGCCGAAGAGGCGCAAGCGTTGAGGGAGAAGTTATCCCAAACCAGTCGCCAACAAAATCACCAAAAGAGCAATTATGACATTAGTGCTTTGGAACCTTCACAAAGGGCATTGGTTGCGGAAAAAAATAATGATTCATGGAAGAACAAATTGATTGTCGCGGCAGTTGAATGCGAAGAGCCTGGGATCTGTTTGCCGCCGCCGCCATTTCCATTTGAGCAAGGCTGGGCAAAGCCAGCCAAAAACAAGCGAAAACTTCGTGATCAAAGCCAGTATTATCAAAGCAGAAACGGGTGGCCTCACGAGAAAGACGATGGTGCCGTTGCACCTGAAGTTGCAAGCCTGAATTATGATGTCAAGCCCTACGCCCCCAGTGATCATGCCTTGTTGACAGTAGATGGAAATGCAGAGGATGTGCCAGTCCGGGACTCTTTTGACGGCCTTCCAGAGCTTAACCAGGCACAAATCCTGCCCGGTGCGATTATTGTCTACAAAGAATTGCATGTCGATGCCTCGACAAACTATCAACCTGAAGTGTCCCCCTATAGGGTCGCTGAAGTGTCAGAAGTGGATGAAGACGGTACTGTGCACGTTCAGCTGACTAAGGGCTCAATGGCCGCAGACTCCCAGGGCAAAATCTACCCACAAACAGGCCAAAGAGTCCACGGCAAGTTCGAGCTGGCGAATGAAGATCCACATGAAGTTGATGATGGGCTTCGTGAAATTTCATTCTCAAATATGATCTCGGCGAAGCTGCTCAAAGCCTCTGTAGTCGAAGATCCCAATAGCAGCCATATCATCAGCCCCAGAGGCGGAGAAGCACCCATGTTGTCAACGGAAGACCAGTTTGCTGTCATTCCTGAGTCAGCGAGACAAACTGTCGAGGCCCAAGCGGCAGACAAACCGGATGCAACTGCGCAGACAATCGATACCCCTCGCAAACAAGAGATAAATGAGATGATCAAGGAGGCCGGCTTCGACTCAGCTCTAGATGAAGAATTGCTGGAACCAATCCCTAACGCTGCTGCTGATAACGCTAAAGATGCACCTAGCCCTGTCGAGGAATCGACTCAGTCGCAAGGACAATATCCTCACAGATTTCGGCTGAGGTCACCTCGCGTCAATGCGTCTTCGTCGGATCTGAAGACTTCATCAGATGTGGACACCAACGCCAATCCCAACGACGGCCCTGGTGACGCTGACCCCTCGAGAAGTTCCAAGTTGCCTCCAACTTCTTCGCCATACATCTCAACCCAAGAAACTGTTGAGTATCCTCATATCTCTCAGATGGACATTAATTCTTCGGACCCTCCGCGCACCACCAATAGCAGCTCACATCAGGATGCACAGAAAGTCTCATTAACTCCGGCGCTTGATCTATCTTCTACTACTTTTGAACAAGGGAACGTAATCAAGGAGGACTTGGATAGCAAGAAGAATGAATTGGATGCCGAGCACCTCATTGATGAAAACCCGAGCCGATCAGAGGACGTGCCTGTCTCGCTTGAGTCCGAGGTTCCAGAGTCTCAAGATCAACAAGCCTCGATCCCTTCTCAAAGCACGGAAGCAGAAGACGAAGGGGTTGCGGACGGAAGTTCTTTTTTGGGACGATTTGGCTACGATGGTCAAGATTCTTCGTACCATGATTCTGGCAGTGATGACGATGACAGTGACCTCCCTTCCCAAAGTAAACTTACATCCAGCCAAAGACACCACAGACGAACCCGATCACTCTCGCGGAGAGTGTCCCCCCCAGCGCCAACTAGGAAATCTCTCCGCAATACGACGAAAAAGAAATTGAGGAGTCCGACTCCGCCGAGTAGCCCTGACCTTTCAGCTCCAAGTGAGACTGCCATTAAGCTGTCGCAAAGTCAGAGAGGGCCAAGATTGTCTCAGATTCCGGCAGGATCACCGATTGTTGACTTGACTTTCTCGAGCGATGCACCGAGCCCGGTCAAAGATACGGATGACAACAGCGATTCAACTGGCGGCCAGAAGAAGACTAAGTCTGAAGTTGGCAGTATGAGTCGAAGCACGAGTGCGAGAGCGGGCAAGCGGGATAGCGGGATTGGCGTTAGAAGATTGCTAACATCGAAGAAGGCCAGAGGATATTACTGATGCGCAAAGGAAGGGGAAAAGAGAAGGCCAGGCGCTGCTGGACCGTGGTCTATTTTGTATGCTGTAAAGAAATTGACAGTCATAGAACATAGCCACTAATGAATATATGATGGCCCGGTCTACCAAAATTCTGCATTTACGGTATGTTGACTGTGCAATGATGTTTTGTTGATGCTAGCCTTGTTGCATGGAAGGCTGGAACTCGAGGCTGCAAGGCTGAGGTCGGCGTCATTGCGCCACTGCGCTTCCGAATGCTTCGCGACAGTCTGGCTTCTTCACGCGACCAATTTTTCCCGCCATCTAATTGATTCTGTTTCTGGATGCACAAGGTCAACTAGCTACTGTTGAGGCTGTCGCTGATCGTCCTCTACGGATTCATAATGTTTTGCCGGTGACCCGTATATGCGACGTGCCATCATGGCTCGGAAATTCAGTAGGATTTTCACGACCCTCCTCTGTAAGTCATGCGCCTGCTGGAGTCCGACGCTGGGTCTAACTATTGCCTCCAGCTTTATTTATCGCTTCCGCTATCCTCATTCCTGCTAGTCGGACTTCGACGACTGCCAGAGCGGAACTCGTCGATACTCAGATCGACTCTCGTCCTGACGAGCAGCAGAAACAAAACTACTGGGCGCAGGGCGGAAATGACATAGTTCATGAGATATGGTCGGTTTTACGGGATTTCGAACCAACGTGGAAAGACAGCGTGACCTCAGCACGACCGACTGGCCTCCTGGGCACCGTATGGCATTACACGAGGATAATCTTCCGCGCTCTATTCATGAATACACCTACGCGAGACGACAATGATGCCCCGAAGGTCAAAGGGGACTTGAAGAAGGGCGTGGATTCGCTCAAAGCGGCGGCCTCCTTCGACGACCCGGACGCCATGTTTCTGCTGGCTGAGATGAATTTCTATGGCAACTTCTCTCACCCGCGAAGCTTTGAGGCTGCCAACTACTGGTATCGCCGGTTGGCTGACTTGGACGGCAATGCCACGGCGCAGTACATGTTGGGTTTGATGTACGCTACCGGCATTGGCGGTTTGGAAAGAGACCAAGCAAAGGCGTTGCTATATCACACGTTTGCTGCCGAACAAGGAAACATCAAGTCTGAAATGACGCTGGCGTACAGGTATCATGCAGGTATTGGCTGTCCCAGAAGCTGCGATAAGGCTGTCTCCTACTATAAAAGAGTCGCCGACAAGGCGATGACATATTGGCAATCAGGGCCTCCTGGAGGCAACTCCTTTGTTCGCAACTCATACCGTTGGGTGGAAGTTGACGGAGGGATCTATGGTGAAGGCGCGAGTGTTAGCTCCTCGGGTCCCAACGCTCCTCGAGACGGCATCACCGCAGCGCATATCGACTATGTCCTCGACTATCTCGACACGAAAGAACGACAAGGCGACTTCAACGCCATTATCACTCTGGGGAAACACTACTACGAAGCCCCTCGGGGATACAAGCGCAATTTCCGCAAAGCACAGCGTCAATTCATGAAAGTTGCCAGAGTCTACTGGACAAAAGATGGCAAGGTGTCTCCGAAAGCACCAAAGGGGATCGAGCGTCTAGCGGGAAAAGCAGCAGCCTATATTGGACGCATGCTCCTCCGTGGTGAAGGGATGGAACAAAACTTTGAAAAAGCTCAGACCTGGTTCAAACGAGGCATTGCCCTTGGTGATTCCTTCGCTCAGTACCACATGGGCTTGATGTATCGTGATGGCCTTGGTGTGCCCCAGGACGGGGCCCGTGCTGGCACATACTTGAAAGCCGCGGCGGAGCAGTCTCTCCCTTTGGCACAATCAGCGCTGGGAGTGCTTTTCTTAGACCAAGGGGACATTGATACCGCTGGACGATACTTTGAGCTCGCCGCAGGAGCGGGCGTAATGGAGTCCTTCTACTATCTCGCCGAACTCACCAACCAAGGAGTTGGTCGTGAGCGAAACTGCGGCCTCGCAGCTGCCTACTATAAAGTGGTTGCTGAGAGGGCAGAAGTCTTGCATTCCTCTTTCGTGGAAGCAAACTCGGCCTACGAAAGAGGCGATTTTGAACGTGCGTACGTTGCCTCTATCATGGCTGCGGAGCAAGGATATGAGAATGCCCAAGCCAACGTGGCGCACCTTCTTGATTACAAGACGTCGGTAATTTCACTGCCAAACTTGGGTCTTCCTCTTCTCTCGACAAAGAAACCGAGTTCGAAGAAGAGCAAACTGCTCAACGATCCGCATCTGGCTCTCGTATACTTCACCCGCTCCGCCAAACAAGCCAACGTCGACTCCTTGATCAAGATGGGTGACTATTATCTCTCCCTGTCCTCGCCTACCAACGCAGCACTCACGCTTTTCCCAACGGATGACAACGGTGAAGCAAAATCCAACCTGGAAAAAGCAACAACATGCTATACAACGGCCGCTGAGACACACCATTCGGCCCAAGCCCTCTGGAACCTTGGCTGGATGCACGAAAACGGCATCGGTAGCGTTACGCAGGACTTCCACATGGCCAAGCGGTACTACGATCTCGCGCTGGAGATGAACAAAGAAGCGTATTTACCGGTGACGTTGGCCTTGGCGAAACTGAGGCTACGAAGTTGGTGGAACGGCGTGAGCGGGGGAAAGGTCAATGGTATTAAAGACGAAGAAGGGGATGAGGAGGAACAAAGACGGCCCAAAACATGGATCGAGTGGGTCAACAGATTCCTGGACGCGGCGGAGGAGATGGATGCGCGCGAGGCGGAGGCTCTGGCGAGGGAGCGGGATGGAGACGATGAGCTTCTGGGCTACGCCGAGCCAGGGGGGATGGTTGGTGGTGGCGGCAACGCTGAATACGCCGACAGACACGCACATGGACAGGAAGGGGGAGGCGGCGCGGGCAGAGTCGAAGGAGACGTCTACGGCGCCGACGAGTGGGATGAGATTGACGACGGCCTCATCGAGAGCCTCATCATCATCGCCCTCGCCGGCGCCTTGGCCTTGCTCGTATACGCTCGCCAGGCGAGACAGAGGGCCTTGGAAGAGGAGAGGCGTCAAGCTCAACACCAGAACCAGAACCAAAACCAAAATCAAGCTCAAGGTTTCGCCCAAGCGGCAGCCCCTCAGCAACAACACCAGCAAGAGCAAGAGCAGCCACCGGCTCCAGGGCAGCAGCCCGAAGGAGAAGGGCCACCAGCGCAGGATAGAGGCATGTTCCCACCCCCTGGGGATCTGGATTGGAATAACTGGGTCGCTGGCGGAATCGGGCATTGAGATGTGTGAAATGTGTTGATTGTACTATAACGGGAACAACCAAAAAAATGATTGAATGGTTTCTTTTCTTCTCTTCAGGCTTCTCGTGGGCAAATGAAATATTTGGAACATTGCATATCCCATGCGTATATGCTATATGGGCTTGTTCTCGACTTGAGTTGAGATGATCCTTTTCAATAACGGCTTCTGGCTTAGGCGCGAAGCCGGAGGACATTCGAGCTTTCTGCTCCGTAATCCCGATTGTCTCCTTGTGAGTCTTCATAGCAATTCAATCAGGGGGCGATCAGAACTGCCAGCACTCTCTAGCAATGTCTGAGTCCACCAATACTGCCATGCAGAGCTTCATCCAATTGCGTAGGGTCTTTTGTGCGTCGACATGAAAACCTCCCGCCCCGTCTGGCTGCCTCTTTCCTTTCGATATGAGCAAGCTGTTTCCATGCCCTGAGGCGATTCACTCTTCCTCTTTCCCCACGCTGGGGATACCAAAGCCTAACCCCTTCCACATCTCAAACAGGCCCAACGGTGTTGTCCCCGCAGTCCACACTGACCAGTCCAACGAACTTGCGGCAGTGTGCGGGCAGTGCCAGCTTCGTGCCAGCTTCAATGGCCTCTAGGCTTCCCAGTGTTCGGCGGTCGGGTTAGGAGCTTCGTCGATGGTCTTTTTCATGGAAATCCATTGCAGAGTCATGTCATCAAGCCCCACTGGTACTGTCATGCACAGATTGCACCTTCTTGTACTCATCCTCCAGCTGCCTCTGCATGTCAAAGTCCGCCTGCCTTTCTCTCTTGATGCGTTGGTGTTCCATGTCTCGAACGACACCAGCGTGCATGGCCTGGAAATGAAGAAAGGAGTCAGCCACAGATTTGCAAATAGTCCATCAGATGATGGATCAGGATCTGGGACCAAGGGGGGAAAAGAAAGAGCATACAGCTTGTTCAGCGGTCTGGGCCCAGTGAACAAAGGCGACTACGCCGGCGGTACCCAGAATAGTGCCGAGCAGGGTAATCTTCGACGCTCTAGACATTGTATTTGAGCCTGTCCGGGGGCGATGTCTTCGGTGAGGAAAGGAAAGAAGGAAAATAAAATGTTTAAGCGGGTGGAATTGGAGAAGGAAGAAGCTCCGCAACTTCGAGAGCTCTCGGCGGCAGGCGCATCATGACGGACAACGCTCCCGAGTATACAGTATTGTCATATCCAAGATAACTTCTCTGCGCAACTCCGTTTCCCCTAGCTCTCATCTTGCTCCTCGTAGCCTCTTTCCCTTACCCTTTCTCTGCTCAGTTCTCCCAAATCATCAATAGCGAAATGGTACGTTTCCGTCCGCTCACGGCTTTACGTTTACACTAATATCAACTCCAGTCCGCCCAAAACTCGGCTGGCATTCAGACCCTGCTGGACGTAAGTCAAGAAAGAGCTTCTGAGCAGGTTCAAGGATAATTCTGAAATGTCGGGCAGGCAGAAAAGGAGGCTCAAAAGATTGTCCAGAAAGGTAATGCTACGTGTCTGTTATCTTTCACGTTCCGATGCTAACAATCCTCGAAGCCAGAGAATGTAGGCTACGACACCCTCGGCCCTCCCCTTTACGACATCCTGTACCGGTCTAACTGCCTTTGCAGACCGAACAAAGAGGGTAAAGGACGCCAAAACAGAGGCCCAGAAGGAGATTGAGGAATATAGAAAGAAAAAGGAAGAAGAGTTCAAGAAGTTTGAAGCCGAGGTGAGTCTATCCGATCAGCGCCAATCACGCATGGCCGGGTTGAGAAGCTTATCAAATGCGCGCAGCAATCGAGCGGGAACAAGAAGGCCGAAGACGATGCGAACAAGGATGCCAATGCCAAAGTAAAGGAGATCGACCAGGCGGGGAAGAAGGCAGGAGCGAAAGTCGTCGAAGACCTCATCAAAACGGTCACGTCTCCTCATCCTGAGGTGCCGGACAAGATCTCAAGGGAGGACTGAGTTACAGGGCTATTGGGGGGACACCGCAGGGTTTGATGTACCGGCACGAGAACAGAACGAGAGTCCCGGTTGTTCTCGAGGAATGGCGGGCAAACTACAGAGGCTGGCGTAATGGAGTCGAATCGTCTACCAACATAGACATGGCCCAGAAGGGCATGCTATACTGCATATTGACCCAGTTCGTCCAGGAGAGCTCTATGACCGCCCCAAGGAAGATATAAATTGTCGGGGCGTCCTTGTTATCAGCCTTACCAGTATTCTTCCTCGTTCTCCTCTTGCTCTTGCCGTTACAATGCCCTTGCTGAAACGCAAGGCCATATTCAAGACAACTTCCCCGGATCTGTTGTCCGAACCAAGCCTAGAAATACAGATTCGACATGATGTCGTCTCATGACAAATTGATATCAACATTGGCCCTCTAGAACCCTTCCTTAGCCAACTCCTCCGCGACAGCCAAGTAAAAGGCCACGGCATTGAATCTCTCCTCGACCAGGCCCAGCCGACTTGCCATCTTCTTGAGCCGGTTGGTCCAGTTGATCAGATCCAAGTGCGTGACGCCGGCCAGCGTGCCCTTGTACTCGCCCCACTTGGCGCTCCTAACACTGACGAGGCCGTCGTTGGGGCCCTCGAGCACGTCCATGAGGTCGTGGGACAGGCGGAACATGGAGAACAGGTGCGGCGTGGCGCTGGCGCCGTAGGAGAAGTATTTCACAGACGGGTCGTTGGGGACGCGCGGGTTGAACGTCTGCGTCATGTACTGAGTGGTCAGCTGGGCGAAGGCGCCCGAGTCGATGTGCAGGCGCGCCAGGAGCCGGTAGATCCAGGGCAGAAGGTCTGGCCCGATGTCGCGGAGGAGCATGTCGGCGGCGGAGCTGCCCCTGTGCGGCGTGGCGATCGTGGTCAGCGACCGCACGCAGAAGAGCGATGGTGGAGGGCACAGGCGCGAGATCATGTACCGCGCGTCCAGGCCCCCCATACTGTGCGCGACGATGTTGATTTCCTTGCCGTCCTCCCCGGCCTGCGACAGCCTATGCGCGATCTGGTCCATCAGCACAGCTGCGCGCTCAGGGATCGACGCCGTCCTCGGCACCGACGCCGTGAGGCATTTGATCCCGTGCGCCTGGAACGCTTCCTTGATGCCTCGCCAGTAGCTGATGCCCGGCAGCAAGTCCCCCGCTAGACGAAGCTCGTCGAAGCCCATCAGGCCGTGGGCGAGAACGATCGGATATTTTGGCGCCATGTAGTGGGGTCGAAGGTGCGCGTAGTCGCTGACGATGAGCCGGCCCACGTCGGTAAGGGAGCTGGAACTGTCCGGGTCATAGGAAGGGCTGTGATTCTTTCGCTGAGTGTCATCAGGTTGGCGGTAAATAGTGGCCTCTGAATCTGTCGATTGTGGTTTTTTGGTATATGTCGACTGGTATGGGACATGGAGCCGTTGGCGACTTGGAAGACGCAAGATGAAGGTGTCCGGTCGCCTCCATCTTAGTTTTATTCCAGCATGGAGGCGTAAAGCTCTCCATGGCATGCTATCGTCTCCTCAAAGACACCTCTCTGATCCCGTATTATGCTGAATGGTCATGAACGCCATCGGTTGTGCTTTTTATTTCAGAAATCATTGAAGGTCGACCTGCGTGCGTCATGCGTAGCTCCGGAGCAGATTTCCGAAGCCTCGCCGAGTAAGGTGGATACATTTATCAGCCTCGTCTGTCAGGCTGTCGAGACATGACCACATATGAACTTGTACTTGGGAGGCTGGAGAGTAGAGGAGAATATAGCTCGATATTCTCTCACTTTCATCATTTCATGTACAAAGAGACTAAAGTATACAACGCCAGGCTTGCACAGCGCTAACTAACGCATCTATCTTGTCTGTGGCTCTGTCATCCTTTCCGTCTATCTAGCGACATGTAGCTCCTCTCCACTAAGCTCACAGGACTCGATTCATGACCATCCAGACCATTCATCGCAGGAATCTTTGGCGAGGAGGTCGGCGTTTGGTACTCGCCTAAACAAACCTTGACTGCACCGTTGCTCTTTGGTTTGTTCAACTCGTCTTTACTCTGGTCACCCTCTGACGCGTTCCGCATTATCTTTCCTGCAGCGTAGGCACACCCGCCATACGCAAAGCGAATCAGAGAATCACCGGTCAGACTGCCGATGATGAAAACATGCGGCGCAACTTCGAGATCTTCGTTCGCCTTTTCACGTAGTGTCTGTGCTGAAATCATGCCAGCACTTGCTGCTTGTAGCGAACCTGTATCTGTGGGCAATACCTGGCAAAGGAGAGCGGGTGAGAGATAGTTCAGCGAGCCCCGTCTTCCAACTACATACGCCAGACCGCTCACCTGACGCTGAAATGGCAGTTCGTTCTTGCTGGCTCCTTGCAAAGTGACTGTGGCTGCCAATCCATTGTCAGTGGCTTGAACGCCGGTGATTTCGGTGTTCGGCAATCCCTCATACGTCGCATTCCAGTCGCGACTGGATTCAAAGCCAGACACGATGCGACCATATCTTGGGCGCTTATCCTTGTGCTTGAGGGAGGCGGTGGCCGCAAGCTTCATCCGCCGGTAGATTCCTGCGTATTCGGGATAGGCTTGGTGATGACAAGCCCGAAGGGGAGAAGGTGACGTCGAAGGCGCCCATTTGTAAATGTGAATGATCTTTTGGTCCGGCGGACTAGAAATCATCACATCAGCAGCACTGAAGCCGGAACCGATGACGAGAAGCGGGTCCGGAGATGGTTCAGTCTGTTTGGCAAGCAGTTCGACGAGTGGACGGAGGAGAGGCCGTGGTTGGATGAGCTCGCTGAAAATTCCAGAGGCGAGAACAAGATTCTTGCACAGGATATTGTGGGATGCGACATAGAAACTATCGCCACGACGAGAAATACCCTCGACGTGCTCTCCGTCACGAATTGAATCGGCGATACCCACCTGGTAGGGATATTCGGCAACATAGTCGGCGACAGCACGTCGGGATGGTCTGAGATAGACTGGCATAGGTCGACCGTTCCGTCTTTGGTAGTGTTCATCAAAACCGTACC